CAGTTATCGCAAACGCTTGATTGCAGTTGTTGCTGCTAAGGGTGGCCCAACCAGTTATTAGGTTTAGGGGGCAATCACTTTTTCACACAGGGCCCTGTAGGTTTGGATTTCTTTTTCCCTTAATAATAAAGACCTTCATTTATAAACTGCGTTTTGTGTTTACTTGTGTTATCTTTGTCTAATATTTACATTTGTTTGGTGATCTGAAACATTTAAGTGTGACAAACATGCAAAAGAATAAGAAATCAGGAAGGGGGCAAACACTTTTTCACACCACTGTAAATGTAGTTTAAATGTGTGACATCACAAAAACAATGATTTTAAAACAGGCTATTTTTGTAGCATATCCGTACATGAACTGTATGAACTGAGAAGTGAATAGTATGTTGTGAAAGGTGTTTACATACTATACTCAACCTTTCAAAAAAGCTTGTTTTCCCATGACACGGACCTTTTAAATGAATCGCGAAACAGCGTCAATCCAAATGGCATTCATTTTAAACAGACCATTTCGAGACCTTTTCGAAAGGCGGCTGGTGTGTTTCAGATCGTTATCATATTAAATGTTTCTTTGCATACTTCTGCAGGTTTGCGTCCAAATAGGCCTTTGTGTACGTCTAAGCTTATGATCCATCACTGAACACAAGCTCGGCTACTGCAGCGTAAGAAAAACAGCTCTGAAACAAACATCATTTTATTAAACACTTTAAAACGTGACCTAAATAACCTCTTTGAAGTTACCGATGTTAAAATGGTTTAAGTGTCCAAATACTTTCAGGCCACTGTTTATATAAAACAAGTGATTTAGCATGTATTGAAACAGAAACTATCAACAAACACTACTGCTTGAAAGTTTCACTTGTCTTAGTAATAACTGTAGTCATTTTATTCAACAATAACTTATACAGTGTAGTGGTGCAACAGTCTAACTGTTGGCCATATCATCGGGAGCTCACCAGTTCGATCCCTGGTGATGCTACAGCCATCCATGGCTGGGAGTCCAAGAGAGCACGATTGGCCTCGCTCTCTCTGGGTGGGTAGGATGACCCCCCGTCTCCCCCATCACCCAGCGCAATGCTAGCCAGCACAGGTGTCTGTTAGCTGACACAACAGAACTGGTGGTTAGTGTTCTCCTCCAAGCGTGTTCAGCTGTCCAATGACGTTGCATTAGCAGCAGTTCAGAAAGATGCAGTGGTGCTTCACAGGACTTTGAGGAAGCCTGTGCTGGCCTTCGCCCTCCTAGCACTAGTGGTATTGTGTGACTGTGGGAGTCCTAACTAGTGGAGCTGGATATGACTATATTAGAGAGAAAATTGGGGAAAAAATCTCAGACTGGGGAAAAACTCAGCAAATAATTAGACACTGTGGAGTAAAATTAGCAGAGAAATGCCATATTTATGTTTGTTCTCTCTAGAGAATGTGTTCTCTCATTTTCACTTAGAAAATCGACAGAACGTCATTTGATAAGGGGTATTCAAACTTTTGTATTCGGCTTCTATTTACAGTAATTTCTTGAAAAAAATGTGCCTCAGAAGTTGATATGAGAAATTCTGGATATTAATTCATTAGAACTTATTGTTTTACAGCTTTCTCTGTTCATCATTCTGGACATTATTATTTTTTTTTTACAGTTTCCTACTAATAAGTCGCAGAGAAGCAACATAATAAAGTCATTTTATAGATGCATCTTGTTTTTATCTTATGAAAAACATCAATTCCAAAATTTTGAGCGGCGTATATTGGCGGCCACTTCTTATAACACTCTTGGTCAACTATAAAAATTATGTCTGGATTATATGTACTTAAAGTTAAACATCCGATAAACATAATTAAGTAATTATAATTTGGTTCCTGTATGTAACAGAGTAAGAAGCATGTTCCTTTTACCTCAAATATGACCTACACTCTCAGAAAAACAGGTATAAAACTGTCACTGTCTTGTCACTGGGGTGGAACCCTCAAGGGTACATCTCAGTACCTTCAGTCAGGGAACATAACTGAACCATAATCCACTGAAATGATATTTTCTAAGCTGTATTGACTCCACACCCCCCGTCTCGTCTCCAGGCTTTTTATTTTATTGTTCTGCTTTAAAACTTTAGTTGTGAAAAAGTAAAATACAAGAAATGTACCTGCACAGAACCTTTATTTCTAATAGTGTACTTAAACGTACACTCACTGACCACTTTACTAGAAACATAATGTGACTATCACCTGCAGGTGTACAGCCAGACACTATAGCCTGTATATGTGCTAGCCATCTTTAAACCCTTCATCAGTGGCCAGTTGCTGACCACAGAGCCCAGGTCAGCTGGAGTTTTTTGGCGATGGACCACTCTCAACCTAGCAGTGTCACAGTAACTAACCAACAATGAATGGGGGTAGAGGGGGCTGACAAATTGTGCAGCAATAGATGAGTTACAGTTTGTAATTGTACACCAGTATAGTGGAGCTATAAGGTAGACAGAGCTCACAAAGCGGTCAGTGAGGATAACACAAGGTGGATGTTTCTAATAAAGTGAATGTTGGCTCAGTCAAAGTATTACTGGTCCAACCACTGGCACGCACAACACCAGTTTAGTAAGCTGGCTTGCCAAAGTGAACTTGTTCTTGTTGTTCTTCCTTGGAATGTCTTAGAGCACTGTTGCTGCAGTGCGTGAGTCAAAGCCACCAAATTTGTTCCAGCCTTGTTATGAAGATTCAACAACCAAGATTAATACATGCCAAGAAATATCCAGACTTTATATCTAATAATGAATTTGGCTACTTTATTATAGAAAAGCACATTCCAATAGAATGGGACTCCACACATGAGCCTAAGGTCACCATGTCCAATGCCAAGTGTTTTCTAGAGGGGTATAAAGCCCCCCTATAAAGCATTGGGCTGTGGAGCAGTGGAACTGCATTCTCAGAAGTGATGGAGCTCTATCCAATACCTTTAGGATGAGTTGGAGCTCCAGAACTGATCATGCAACATCAGTACCTGACCTCACTGATGCTCGTATGGCTGAATTCAATCAAATCCTCACTGCAGTTTTCCAACATCTATGGCAAAGCCTTCCCAGAAGAGTTACTGCACCAATGAGGGGACGAACTCCTCATTAATATGAACAGGTGTCCACAAACCTTTGGACATATAGTGTATATTCTCCCCTTAAATTGTTCATTCTCTCAGCCTGTAAATGTCGTGTATAATTTATGGCGTTTCATAATCACAGCTCCAGCCCTTCAGCTATTTCTTTCATACCTCTGTCATCATGTAGGAATTCTGGTTCAATGGAACCAGACTTTTTTCCAAGTCATTTTGGGCCGTTAACTTTGGTTTATTTATCATGAAATTTAAACACAATGTAAAGAACAGCAGGCATTTTCAAATTATGTCAAAAACCGAAAAAAGGACAAAACCGGAGATACAAGGTTTTGTTCCGACAGCAGAGATATACACATTTACACACACACTCACACCTAGGGGTAATTTGGCATCTCCAATCCACCTGACTGCATGTCTTTGGACTGTGGGAGGAAACCCATGCAGACACAGGGAGACCATGCACACTCCACACTGGTCGCCCGGCTGGGGAATCGAACCCAGACCCTTCTTACTGTGTAATTTAATAACTATGTATTATAACCACTCCTTTAAGTTCATAATAGGTATAAATGTCTTGTGGTATACAGGTCCTTTTGAAGTCCCAGGGTGCCAGGGTTTTGTTATGTCAAAAAAATATGTTATGTCAATTAATTATGTCAAAAAAAGGACAAAACCGGAGATACAAGGTTTTGTTCCGACAGCAGCAATATACGTTTACACACACACTTTCAGGTTTTCAGTTCAGCGTTAAGTTGTCTTCTCACAGTGGAAGGATTGATAGATTTTTTCAAATGTGAAGCAGGAGGGAAGCTTAATTTGAAAGTTTCAGTACTGTTTATCTGATGGGGCCAGTTTTGGTGGTCTACCAGTTAGGGTTGTTAGGAGTCCCATTTTTAATATATTGTTTAATCATTTTTGTACTCCAGTTTTTTCACACATGTTCCTTCAGCTTTTCCGTTTTTATGCAAATGGACTATCTTATATCTGATAAAATGAATAACTTGTACTTACTGGCCATTTGACTGGAAATTGAATGAGTTTAACAGTACTGCATGTGTTTTTGTAGTGGCAAGCTAACCTACTGCATTCGCATTATGTGTTACTGTCAAAATGAATCACAAACATGAGATCATTGGACCTTGTAACAAAAGTCTCTGATGAGACTTAGTGGCGGCTTACTTCCTCGTTCACACACACACACACACACACACACACATTATCTAAGCCACTTATGCTCCTGGGTCGTGGGGGAGGTGCTGGAGCATATCCCAGCCTTCATTGGGCGGAAGGCAGGAAACACCCTAGACAGATTGTCAGTCCATCACGGGGCAGACACACAGACATATCGCTGCTGTCGGAACAAAACCTCTCCAAAATGGTCATTCTGGTTCAATGGAACCAGACTTTTTTCCAAGTCATTTTGGGCCGTTAACTTTGGTTTATTTATCATGAAATTTAAACACAATGTAAAGAACAGCAGGCATTTTCAAATTATGTCAAAAACCGAAAAAAGGACAAAACCGGAGATACAAGGTTTTGTTCCGACAGCAGAGATATACACATTTACACACACACTCACACCTAGGGGTAATTTAGCATCTCCAATCCACCTGACTGCATGTCTTTGGATTGTGGGAGGAAACCCATGCAGACACAGGGAGACCATGCACACTCCACACTGGTCGCCCGGCTGGGGAATCGAACCCAGACCCTTCTTACTGTGTAATTTAATAACTATGTATTATAACCACTCCTTTAAGTTCATAATAGGTATAAATGTCTTGTGGTATACAGGTCCTTTTGAAGTCCCAGGGCGCCAAAAGAAGTTGTTTTTTTATATTTGAATTGAAAAGCATTACTGGATTGTTAAATAATACAGCATTTTAATTCTGTTTGCTTTTCCCTTCAGCTTCTCTACTGGCTTCAGTGACTCCATGGCCAAATGCCTCGGACTTCACGACATCCCAGCTCAACAAGTCATGTGATAACTGCAGTCATTTCAAATACATGGCGTACACCGTCACGTACAGTATAGTGTTTCCCGTTGGACTGCTCAGCAATTTGGTCGCTCTGTACGTGTTCCTGCGGCACACCCCCAAGAAGACCGCCAACACTGTGTTCATGACTAACCTCGCCATAAGTGATGTTTGTTTCACCTTAACGTTGCCCTTTCGCCTCATCTACTACTTCAGGGAATGCCACTGGGACTTTCCGGATTGGTGGTGTCGCTGGTGTGTCTACTCCTTCTACGTGAACCTCTACACCAGCGTGCTTTTCCTTACGGGTCTAAGTGTGCTGCGCTATATCGCCGTAGTGCACCCCATCCGCAACAAGTCTCTTGTGACAGTGCGCCGGGCCAGTGTGGCATGCTTTGGCATCTGGGTGTTCGTAGCAATCATGTCCGTCCCTTTCCTCATGTCAGGGACTCTGAAAGACGGCGAAAAGATACGCTGCTTTGACCCTGGACACAAAAAAAACTGGATGCGGATACTCTACCTCAACTACTTGGCGCTAGTGCTGGGCTTCCTAATTCCTTTCGTCACCATTCTGGTCTGCTACGGATGCATAATCTGCAAACTGTTTGCAGGTCAGAGAATTCAGAGTCACAGGCGGAAACACCGGCTGCGCTCGGTGTACCTGATTGCTGTAATCCTGACCACCTTCCTGTTGTGCTTCCTACCATACCACATTGTCCGCACAGTTCACCTGCACGCCATTGTCTCGAGGAATAACTGTAGGCTGGAGGAGCATCTCCTGAGGGTTCCTGTTCTGACACTATGTGTTGCAGCTTCCAACAGCTGCCTGAACCCCCTCATGTACTACTTTGCTGGGGAGAGCTTCCGTACGTCCTTCCGCAGGGCCTCGCGCCGGGGAACGTTGAGCTCCGAGAACAGTTTCCGCTTGTCATTCCAGTGGAGGAACAGATCGAGCAAGCAAGTGCGGCAACAGACTCCAAGCAGTCTACTGGCACCAGAAGAAAAGCAAAACACTCAGTGAAGAGCAACAAGCAGTGGAAGCCACACTGCTCTTCTGAACCCCAACAAAAAGCTGTGATGGACCACGTCTCAATGTGAGGGCTTGTGTTAAAGATAACAGGCAAGGGATCAATGAGTAAATGGACTGATTTACTGTGGATCTTCTTTCCTGAACAAGACTGTAGGGCAGGGGTTTCAAACTACTGGGCCATGGTCCACATCCAGCCCATCACATATTTACAATTTATCCTTAAATGTTGCCTGCAAACCTTTTTTTTTAGTTTCTGTGGATAAATATTTACATCTGACGTGTAGGCTTGCCTCACCCACCGGACACTATGACTGGTTAAACAACATAAGCTATATAAAAGCAAAAAACAGAGCGCTGCATGCAGGAGGAACCCTGCATACGGAGCAGTCATGGTTAACTAACATAGCTATTACTCTAATTTAATTTAATTTAATCTTGCCTGTGTGGATTCCTACATGAAAAGTGGTAGACAGAGCAAGTAAGAATAAAGAAATGAAAGGAATTATGTAATGAATCCACTGAGAACGCTGATTTAACAACAGCACTTCACTCATATTCAGCATGAAAGATATCAGAGTAAGAGTCCCACATAATTCAACCGTTAAATGTAAGTTTACTTAACTGACCAACAAAAGATTCATTAACGTTTGAAAGGTTGATTCACCCTAACTACTATAACACCTGTACAGGTCATTTTGACCTTTTGAATTATTAATATCATGCTTATTAATATCACAACAGAGAACAATTGAAAAACTAATCATTGTATGATGAGAAATGGGAAGTCTAAGAAGGATTCATTTAAACTGAGTTGTCATTACTACTTATTATTTATTACATTACCATGCTGTACTAGTTGGCAATGCTGTCAGTTAACATTGAGTGTGTTTAAATGCACTTAATAATCCGATAACTGCAGAAAATCAGATTTTGTCAGGAATCCGATCAACGCGTTTACATGCACTGGAGTAATCAGATAATGTGAAACTCCAGGTCTACATGAGTTAGACAGTAATCAGCTTTCTGCTTCGCAACCATCCAATAAACTCACAGAAGAAGACGTGACGTAAACGTGACGTAAAACTCAAACTTCATGCCGAAGCTTTTTTTTTTGCGCCACTTTACCTGAAAATATGAACATATGAACAAAGATGAAGAATGTTTAAATCCTTGGACGTTTTTAGTGTCGCTCCAAAAGTGTTGTGCTGCGTCTCGCGGCAACACTGCTTACTTATTTCCGGTACCACCATCTGTTTTCACACACGCACAGACTGAGAAATCCGAAAGAAATCAGAGTAAGAGTTTACATGCACTGAGAAATCTGATTACTGAGCTAAAATCCAGCTCTCTTTATCGGATTTCTAGACCTCATTCCGATCTAAGAAATCGGAGGATGCTTTTTACATGGCCATTTGAATAATCGGATAACTGCAGAAATCTGATTATGATCAGATTATTAAGTGCATGTAAACGCACTCATTGACTCAGTGTTTTCTGTAAGAAAAGCATTGGATTTCAAATGAATTACTTTCACATGGGAACAACAAACATAAAAGCTCCCATCTTCAGCACTGTACTCTATCATAGTCGCTGGTCGAATGTTCGTGTCTCATCTTTGTCAAGATATAGCATCAGGTTTAGCATATATTTACAGTCAATCAAAACTTTGTAACATATTTGTAGGGTTCTATACTATAGCCTGTATTGTCTGACCTATCCTATTTTATTGTTATTGTTTCATTCTGTTCTGGATTGTACTGTGTAAACTGTTTTCTAGTTCTTTCCAGATATTTCAAGAAGTAAATGAGATGAGGTGAGTAGGCTACTGAATAACTGCTGCTAAAAAAACTGCAAAAACGTGCTGGAATAGGGAAAAAACAGCCAACTCACAGGGACCAAACACGCTAAATTTTATATGGTCAAAATGACCGCTAATGGCCTTATGAGGTAGAAACACTCTGAACTTTTTTTGTGCTTTTTAATATTGATCTCATAACAATGTCAGAAAAAATATGCACTAATTTATGAAAGGTGTGGGCGCAGTAGATTTGGGGGTATTATTTTGTAAAGATATTAACATTTTAAAAATTTGAAATGGTCAAAGTGACCATCTAGACCAGGGGTGTCAAACTCAACCACTAAACGGGCCACATCTCAGTAAATCTCAACAAATCCGTGGGCCAGCTGTGTTTATTTTATTTTTACTTAACATTTCGCCATGATCCCAACTGAACACTGTTTATTTAAAATATGCCAAAACTACAATGGCAAAAAATGGGCACTGAATACTTAAATGATTCAAAAATCATTTTAAATAAAAACAAATTGTTTAATATAAAACAACAGACCATATTAGCTGCAGATAACAGTTACACCTCTTTAAATGTCCCCAGTGTACAGCAGGCCCAAAAACTGCCCATTCGCTTGAACTAGACACCTGGCATCTTTATTTATTCATTTATTTATTTATTTCTTTTTTGCGGTTCTGTCCCATAGATCATTGTTGGGCAGGGGGTGGGAGCACACCTTACGTTGCAGTGCATTCTGGCAACTGCAGTGCAGCTCATGGTGAAATTAATAGAAAATTTAAAAAATAATTTTGCGGGCCAAATTGGACTGTGGCCTGGTGTTTGACACATGGGATCTAGACCTTTCTAGTGCACTGTATTACTACTACTACTAATAATAATAATCATCATCCTCATTAGAATTATTATTATATGTTTTATCACTGTTATTAGTAGTAGTGCTTGTGGTTTGCAGTCACTGAAGAATTGCTGATAAGCATTGAAGATGCACTTAAATTAGTTTGTATGTTTTTCCCTTTTTTTTTTTTGGTTTACAAAGTTGAGTAAAACATTAGATAAACTTTATGTACTTAAAATTCAAATACAGCACACTTTCTTCTCCCTTCGCTTTTTCAACCCCACCTCCTTGGAGCCCCACCTGATGAGTTTGAGACCCCTGCTGTAGGGTAACTTATTCCTTAGTGTTGAGCACCTTTTATATTTAAAACAAGCGAACAGAAAACAAAGAAAGAAAGGAGCAGTGAAGATTTCAACAGACTTCCCTTGACTGAAGGAGACACTTGAAGTAAAATCCTTAACTTTAAATCCTACAAGAGAAGTAATTCCAACTCTCCCACATTCCACTGTCGACCATGAGTGACACAACAATAACATCTGTCTCCATAACAGTGGCACAAAACAGTTTTCTACTTGCTTGACGAACCAATGTCAGTTGAGAAGTATGATCCTTATGTAATCTCTGATGTGTGAAGGCGTAGCCTGCTTCCAGTGTAACAATCACTCAGCAAAGCAGCTTCCAAATAAGAATGAGGTAAGACATTGAAAGGAGGTTGTGCTGAGGACTGTATTGGGCAGTTCCTGACCGACCATCTCCCACCCTAACAATATGGTTATTTATTTGCTTACTGAGAAGCCCATCTTTTCCATTTCTGTTTACAGAGCACAAGGTCACATTCATGTATCACCTGGAGGTGTCAGTTTTGGTTAAACCTGTTTGCCTATTGTGTTGGCCCTGTGTCAACAGATGTCACAGATCCCAGTGTGTTTTCCAGTGAAAACGAGTCAGTACAACGGCACAGGTCATGTCATTATCTAACCACTTTCAGGACATTTTCTAACACCTGGATACATAAAACCAAACACCATGACCATGAGCACACAGTCGAGAACGGCCTACAAAGCTGTCAGTCTCCTCTACAACACCTCACTGGTTGCACCTGTTTTTAAGGTCTACATCATTAAAAATAGATCAACTGGCTTTAAATGGAATTGCCTGGAGCGGATAGTGTGGAATCCATCACTGCTCATTAAACTGAGGATCTGGAACCAGCGGTTATGAGTCATGATTAGGAACTTCATGGGGCACTCTTCCTTGGAGCGCTCACGTTTCCCTGTAATCTACCTAAGCAGTCGTTTCACAAAGTTCCCTTTTTTCTCATTCACTCACGATGTGGGAGGATGCGTGGGGCCGAATTCCCAGCTCTGTGCCAACCACTCTCATTAAAGATTAAAAGCTTTCATAGGAAATGTGAGCACAATGGTCATCAATTCACAAGTTGGAGAAAAGCAAACTGTTTAGACATAATACCTTTACAGGGGAACAAATAACGTGAAGAATGTGGTTCATGTTTAGAAAACCATCTGTGTAAGTTCAGAGCAGGTCCAGGTAATCTCTCATGTTAATCTGGCTGTAAGAAAATGGTTCAGCATGTTTTTTTTGTCCATTTGAAGTTCTAACACTGATAGCATCTGTAGCTCATACTGATATTTGGAGTAAATATGGAACAGATCCACATCCGTGCAGTCATATGCAAAAGTTTGAACACTCCTGGTCAAAGTGCATGTTTTATTGATGTTCTGTATGAAAATAAGTCAACACATCCTCTACAGATAACCCGCCTAAATATGACAGAAAATATGCAGAATTTGTATTTATTTGATGAGTTTAACATATTAGGAAAAAGAAAACGTAACAAAATATGTTACAATAAATATGTAAAATGTGGCATATGATTATAAAATATATTAAATTCAGCAAATATCAGTCATTATGCATTAAAATGCGCAGAAGAGAATGTGTTAATTTATTTTCACTTAGACAATCAGCATGTAATTTAACCAGGGGTTATTTTATATGCAACCATAACATGTACAATGGGGATGTTAATAATATAAACAATGTGCCAAAGGTTTTTTTACATGTCTTATTCCATATTTCAAGAATTCTGTGAACATGAAGTGAATAAAATGTTAATTCAGTTAATTTAATGTTGTAATTGTATTTTTTTTTTATCCTATTTTCATTTAGGAAATCAATAAAACAAGTTATATGACTAGTGGTGCCCAAACTGTTACATACAACTGAGTACTGCACTGCCTATTTAAATTAAGTTTTAATGTTATTGTATTATAACTCAGTTCTCAATGTTGTCATTCTTGTACGATTCCATTAATTATTATGGACACATCTTAACACATACAGCTTCCTAGTGTCATTATATACAGGTTTTCCTTGTTTGTATTTTTTGTTTGTTTGTAAAGAGTTATATGTAGTACGTGAACATTATTAAAGTTTCAGAACATACCATTCATACCCAGACCATACAGTCCATATATGGAAACTACACTGCCCTCCACAAATATTGGCACTCCTGCTAAACATGAGCAAAACAGGCTGTAAAACTCGTGGGAATTAGGTCGGGGACTGGGATGGCCATGGCAAAACCTTCTGTGGTCAGTAACCATTGTGGTGTTGATTTTGACCACAGCCCAGATTAACCTCCCTGCCTGAGGCAGTTATGTTTTGATTTAATATCTGCTGGTATTTGATGGAGTCAG